CTGTAGTGCTGAGGGCTGTGATTTCACTGGTTGGGTTTTAGTAGCACAGCAAAATCTCCCGGATTGTTCATCCTCAGTACAATGCCTCCATTGTTGCCCCTCCACGCCAGTTAATCACACTGTTGTGAAATTAAAGGTGAGAGAAGTTTGATTTGGTCCAATTCTGTCATTGGAGTTTGGCTCATAAAACCCAGAAAACCATTTACGTCTCCACACTTGACAGCATGAAAGCTGCACCGCAGAGTTAAGATGGAATGGCATATTTACCAACTATGGAAAACGTTTAATTTGACAAGTGTGGCTGACAGCCTGTGATCATTTACACCGGGAGACAGAAATTTATAGCATTTGCATCCTGTCACCTAATGCCGGTAATGCTGAAAAAGCCAGCAGAGCTGCTCCTCCATGGATCAGACACAGTGCTTTACAGAGGGAAGTCAGTTTTTAAGGACCTAACAATGAATAGTGGTATACAAAATTTGAGGTTTTTCACAGGTTTTGACATGTGGACATGCATGTATGTGGTGTAATTTTAAAAAAATTAAGTTTTGCATCCAGGTTTACAGCAACTAATCCAGATTGTACTAACATGATAGGAACAGCTGCCATAATTATTTTCAATGAAAGCAGTATAATCTAATAAATTCAACTTTAACTTCGATAACTCAACTGGTGCTTTAGTGAAGTGGGTTCCCGCTCTTTATGGACTGGAAGATGACAAACACTGACCACTGGGCTCTCAAAAGAGGTTCACGTGCTCTCTCAAACAGGGAGATGTGCCACTAAGACACTGCCTGAATCTCTGCAATTTGTGTTGTTTCTTTTCTTTTGTCAATTTTCACAGAAAAATGAGCAATCTTTCAGGTCAAGTTTTCATTTAAAAATGACTCAGTTGGTACGTCTAGCACTAAAACACCATCTGACTATTAACAGTAACCAGTCAAACCCTCATTCCAGCATCATCACAGGGAGCTGTGACTTGTGTACTATGACGTATGAGGTTTCTTTTCACTTGTTTGATGCAGCTATCGAGGTTAACAAATGAGCCTCTATAAAAACCG